ACACCCGCACCCCCAGAGGGACCACCCTCAGGGCGACCGGGACGAGCACCCCCAGAGTCAGCGAACGGGGGCTGCGACTGCGGCGGCGGCGGCGGCGGCGGCGACGGCGACGGCTGCAGTGGCGGCAGGGACGGCGGAGGAGGGGACTGGGGAGGGGACACCTGGGGAGGGGCGGCCGGCGAGGACTGCACCGGAGGGCCACCAGAGTCAGAAGACTCCTCAACCGGGTCCACGGACGGAAGGGGGGTGACATGGGAGACACCAGAGGGGGCGGGACGGGGAGGAGGAGGAGGAGGGGCAGGGACTACCGGGGAAGGGGTGACCAGGAACAGGGGGGGGGTAACCGGGGGACCACGGTGGGGGAAGCGGCGGTAGTAGGAGACGGACTCGTCAAAGGTGACGTCACGAGAGTGAAAGAAGCGGTGAGACGGCGGGTGGTAAAAGTGCCAGTCGGACGCGTCAAGGGGAAAACCGAGGAAGACGCAGGGAAGGGTGCGGGCAGTGAGCTTGTCCGTGCCGGAGGCACGGACGTGAGCAAGGCAGCCCCAGACGTGGAACGCAGACGCGTCACCAGGAGACCCAGTTCACAGACGGGTCGGCGAAACCTGCGGCTGCTGAGGGTGCGGCCACAGGTTAAGCTGGTGAGAAGCGTAGCGCACAGCGAACGGCCACAGAAAATGGGGTGCACCGGCATGGACCATGGAGGTGCGAGCGACCTCCATGACCAAGCCGATGCGTCGCTCAGCGACCCCATTCTGCTGTGGGGAGTCCGGTAGGGTGAACGTCTGGGTGATGCCCTCCGCACGACAAAAGCGACCAAGGACACCTGAGGCAAACTCGCCACCACGGTCTGAGTGAAGACGCAAGACAGGGAGACCGCGGTGGACACGCGCAGAGACAAGCCAGGGGATGAGGGCGCCAGGCACGTCGGCCTTGCGCTCCAGGGGAAAGACTGTGGTGTAACGAGTGAAGTCGTCGACAAGCACAAGGAAGTAGCGCTCGCGACGCGGCCCAGGGACGGGGGCGGGGCCCCAGACGTCCAGGTGCAGGGTCTGCAGCGGCGCGGCGGTAGGGGGGAACGAGGAGGAGTGAGGGGCACGGCGAAGCCGACCCTCGACACAAGGCGTGCAAGGTGGAGCTGGGGAGGAGGGAAACGCGGGGAGTGAACCTGGGAGACCAAGGACAAGACCGTGCTGGGACATGTGACGCAGACGCGGGAGCGCAGGGTGACCTAGGCGGTGGTGCCACAGGAGGGTCGGGTGAGTGAGGGAGCGACAGGAGCAGGCAGCAGCAACCTGGGTAGACACAGCCACCTGAGGGGGCGCTCCAGCCGGGGGGGGCACGGTGTCCAGAGTGAACAGGCCGGACACCGGGTCCCGGGGGAACGTGGACAGGGGGGCACCAGTGGCGGCCTCGGTACAGACAGCATACCGCTCGTGACCAGGGAACGTAGTGGTGACGCCAAGGTCCTGGAGGCAGCCGACACCAACTAGGTTCCTGGCGAACGAGGGGATATGCAGACCTGTAAGAGAGCCCGAAGGAACCGCCGGACAGGGAAGGGTGGTGGAACTGCGGGCGACTACCGGGCCGCCGGAGGGGTCAGCAAGAGAAACGGCAGCAGGAACAGGAAGCGGCGTCAGGGTGGTGGAGTCGCGGAAGAAACACCGAGAGGCGCCAGAGTCCAAGGTGAAGGAAAGCGAAGCCGAGGGGTCTGGCGACGGAACGACGGCAGAAGCACCAAGACTACACAAAGCAGGGGATCCTACGCCTGACGCAGCAGGGGAGGCTAAGCTAGGCACACCTACACTAGGCAACAGTGAGTAATAAGTCGGAAGCACACTAGAGTCATCAGCATACATCACATGCAGAGCAGAAACAATGGCATCCATGTCCATATCAAAGATCTGAATCTGACGACTAAGCAAACTGTGCCAGTCCGGGAGGTCTGGCGACGGGCCGAAACGCTGACGAAAGAGGTCGTCCAGGCGACGAAAGCAGCGGGGAGTGGAGTGACCGATCTTACCGCAAACGAAACCGCGGCGAGGACCGGTCTGGATCTGGTACTGACAACGCCCGCCGGCAGAGCCACCACGCGGCACACCACCACGCGCCCGTCCACCGCCAGCGCCGGGCCACCCTGGCGGGAGAACACTCGTCTGCCGCGTCTGCGACGGCTGCTGCGGCTGCTGCGAAGGCTGCGACTGCGGCGGCTGCTGCGGCTGCTGCAACTGCAGGGGCGGCGACTCAGCTGGACTGGGCAGGGTCCCCTCGTCCGCTCCAGCACCAGGCGACCCGACCCCACCACTACCCCCGCCCGCACCCCCGCCGCCCCCTCCGCCGCGCCCAGCCTTGGGGCGGCGGCCCTTCCCAGAACGGGCCTGCGCTGCAGCAGCAGTCTCAGCCACTGCGGCAGAGCCGTCGGAGAAGGTACACTGAGCGGGGGCACAACCCTGAAAGATAGGGACCGGCACGACACCGCTCGCCTGGGCGATGGAGCGGTGACGGGTCTCTATCACAGTCAGGGTGTCGACAAAGTCAGTGAGGGTGAGGTCTGCGGGGTGAACACTAAGGAAGCGGTCGCGGGCGACAGCAAGGCGGTCAGGGAGGCGGGTGGCAAGCAGGTAGAGGGTAGAGGTAATGGGCGGCTGGTGGGCTCTAAGCTGTGCGTCAGTGCATGCGGCGCGCCAGGTCTCCTCTATCGAGCGCAGGTGGGCAGCGAGGTCAGAGACAGTGGGGAACGAAGCAAGGTCAGGAAAGAGCAGCGGGAGGATCAGGCGACCCACCGAGGCAGCCGGAGGGGTGGAATAGCGCTTGATGACAGCATCTAAGTATGCCTGAGCAGTAGTGAGGGACCTAAAGCGAGGACGCTCGGACGGGGGGAGGGCGTTGCTAATGGCAAGCTGGGCGACTGCATCGCGAGAAAGCCAGACAGAGCGCGCACGGGCAGTGGCAGCAGTAGACTCACGCTCAGTGGGTGTGGGGTCAGCGGGCAGAATAGCAGGAGGGTCTGGGCAGGGGAGCGTACCGTCAAGGTGTGCGGAAAGCGGTTCACCATCCTGCCGCTGGCCAGTGAGTTGGCGGCGGAGGTCGGCAAGCCACGCCTCGAACTCTAGGGGCTGACCTTCAGCGTCGAAGCGAAGCTCCGCCGCCATCAGGAACAGTCCAGTGCTGTGCAGGGCGGTGCAGCTAGGTGGGGTGCGGTGCAGTGCGATACAGTGCGGTGCAGTGCGGTGCAGTGCGGTACTGTGCGGTACAGTGCGGTGCAGTGCGGTACAGTGCGGTGCAGGGCGGCACGGAGCAGGGCGGGGTGGGGGGGGGGGGGGGGGGGGGGGGGGGGGGGACCGTACCAGTGAGGAGGACGGGGCCGGGGCTGGCCCGACGGGGCCGGGCGGGCGCGACGGGGCCGGGCTGATGCGACAGGGCCGGGACGGGGCGACGGGGCCGAGCGGGCGCGACGGGGCCGGGCTGGGGCGACGGGGCCGGGCGAGTGCGGCAGGGCCGGGCCGGTGCGACGGGGCCGGGCGAGCGGGACGGCGGCCGGGCTGGTGCGACGGGGCCGGGCGGCTGTGACGGGGCCGGGCAGGGTGCGACGGGGCCGGGCGGGTGCGACGGGGCCGGGCGGCTGCGACGGGGCCGGGCGAGCGCGACGGGCCAGGCAGGGTGCGACGGCGCCGGGCGGGCGCGACGGGGCCGGGCGGCGGCGACGGCGCCGGGCGGGCGCGACGGGGCCGGGCGGCGGCGACGGCGGCGGGCGGGCGCGACGGGGCGGGCGGCGGCGACGGGGTCGGGCGGGCGCGACGGCGCCGGGCGGGCACGACGGGGCCGGGCGGCGGCGACGGGTACGACGCGGCCGAGGAGGGTCGCTACGGGGCCCAGGAGGGGCACGACGGGGGGCCCAGGAGAGGCGCTACGAAGCCCAGGAGGGGCGCGACGAGGCCCAGGAGGGGCGCTACGGGGCCTGGGAGGGGCGCGACGGGGCCTGGGAGGGGCGCGACGGGGCCCAGGAGGGGCGCTACAGGGCCCAAGGAGGGCGCGACGGGGCCCAGGAGGGGCGCTACGGGGCCCAGGAGGGGCGCGACGGGGCCCAGGAGGGGCGCTACGGAGCCCAGGAGGGGCGCGAAAGAGCCCAGGAGGGGCGCTACGAGGCCTGGGAGGAGCGCGACGGGGCCCAGGAGGGGCGCTAGGGGGCCTGGGAGGAGCGCGACGGGGCCTGGGAGGGGGCGCTACGGGGCCCAGGAGGGGCGCGACGGGGCGCTACGGGGCCTGGGAGGAGCGCGACGGGGCCCAGGAGGGGCGCTAGAGGGACTGGGAGGGGAGCGACGGGGCCTGGGAGGGGCGCGACGGGGCCTGGGAGGGCGGTACAGGGCCCAGGAGGGGCGCTACGAAGCCCAGGAGGGGCGCGACGAGGCCCAGGAGGGGCGCTACGGGGCCCAGGAGGGGCGCGACGGGGCGCTACGGGACCTGGGAGGAGCGCGACGGGGCCCAGGAGGGGCGCTAGTGGGCCTGGGAGGAGTGCGACGGGGCCTGGGAGGGGCGCGACGGGGCCTGGCAGGGGCGCTACGAAGCCCAGGAGGGGCGCGACGGGGCCTGGCAGGGGCGCTACGAAGCCCAGGAGGGGCGCTACGGGGCCTGGGAGGAGCGCGATGGGGCCCAGGAGGGGCGCTAGGGGGCCTGGGAGGAGCGCGACGGGGCCTGGGAGGAGCGCGACGGGGCCCAGGAGGGGCGCTAGGGGGCATGAGCGGAAGCGGTAGGTGGGGGGGGGGGATCCTACCTACGCGTGATACCATGTCAGAAAAATTGAATAATGGTAAAGTGAGAGTACACACAAATATATCTAAGTTCTGTATCCTCTAAGAGGTGACTCTATACAGTCTATACAAACATGACAAATACACATGTTTGACACTCCGCTCCGCAAATTGCAGTCAGTCCTAGAGATTCTTCCAGAACAGCCGCAGCTTCTTCGGCTGCTACACCACGATGAGACTCACGAATCGTAGTGTGTTTCCAACAATGCAAGGGTGCACATTCAACTTCCTGAAAACACCATATGAGCTGTTGTTTCTCTGATACATACAGGACTGATCAGCTGCAATAAATTACTCTTTGTAAAGGTACAGTAAACGTGTTGCATTTCAACTATGATGCCATAGCTTCAGGTGGGAGTCGTTTATACGAGTATTTTTCAAGCACCGACTGCATCATGCTCAGCAGCTGATTCACAGTGAACGGCTGGAGGGGAAGGGAACGGAGAATGGAATGGAATCAATGGAGTCACCTAGAAGAACCGTTTTAAACTATACCTGCTACCGTAAATGGCTGAGTAACACAACTGCAATGCATATGCTTTCGTGTCGGGAGGGTGAGGTGGAACGGTGGGGTGTGTGGAGAGGGGGGAGAGAGTGGGCAAGGGATGGCTCTATTTTTGCGCAAAAAAGTATATATATTCTCTGCCTGTAAGAGCACCAATGCATAAAAAGATAGCGAGGGAGGGGTGGGGGGAGGGGAGAGCAGAGAGCGCTGGAGGCGGGTGAACGTACCTTGGAGACGAAGCCGTCCATGCCTGCGGATATGCACTGGTCGCGGTACACGTCAGCTGCATGGGCTGTCAGGCCTGCTCGGACACGCAGGGGCCAGGGCAGCCAGAGAGGAGCAAGAGAGACCGTGCTCTGTCATGCAGCAGCTTCTTACCTGGGATGATGCTATCAGGTTGGGGAGGACTAGAAACATGTTTGCTAGTCTGATGGGGGGTGCATTGTGTGTCAGACGGGCTGTACGGGGTGAATTGTGGTGCAGATGGGCTGCACAAGGGTCAAAATGGAAGAAATCGACAAGGGATGCACCAGAGTCCATGGAACAGCGCACCAATGACTGGAAGATGGGGCAGCTTCTCTGCCATTTCCTTCTCGCGGATGACTCGCACTGTCTGAAGACCGTCCATCACCGGCATCTGTACAAGGCGGGAGAGGCGCAACCAGGCAAACCCGCCCCCCTCCCCCCACCCCCCACACAAACAGATGCATGCAAATCTGCATGTGTACATGCCAAGAAAGTATAGTCTGATACCTTGTACTTCAATGAGACAGTGCACAATTTTACTTACTTCTGCAATACCTGCACGTGCAGCAGCCTACCTGCACGTCCAGCAGCCTACCTGCACGTCCAGCAGCAGCAGGTCGTAGGGCGTGATGCCGCCGTCTTTGGGGTAGAGTCGCTGGATGGCCTGAGCGCCGTCGCCCACGGCGTCGGCCACCATCCCCTTCTTCTTGAGGAAGCGCACCGCCACCTTCTGGTTCACCACGCTGTCATCTGCCAGCAGGATGTTCAGCGCCGTCGACGACAGCAGCGCCCGCGGGCTGGCGGCGCGCACCTTCTGCTTCAGCTTCATGCTCATCTGCCGCCCCAACCCCGTGCCCTGGCGGGCCAGCCCCGTGCCCTGGCGCTGCAGCAGCGCCAGCCCGCCTGACTTCTGCCGAGTCAGGCCCCCGCCAGTGCGCCGAGCCGAGGACGACAGCGGCGTGGTCGGCACGTCCAAGGGGGGAGGCTCCCTACTGCGCGAGAAGCTGCGACTCACGGCGCCTGCAGAAGCGCCAGTGCGGGGCGAGCGAGCGGGGGCGAGGGAGCGCTGGGCGGCAGCAGCTGCTTGGATGCGCGCATATATGGCGTCCATGGTGCTCGGCTCCATGGTGCTGGGCTCGGGCAGCGCACACAGGGAGGTGCCCGGGAGCAGGGGGCGGGGGGACAGGGGGGGCAGCGCGGAGGAGGGAGGGGTGGAGGAGGCAAGAGTGGAGGCAGCAGGAGGCCCCTGAGACGCTCTACGAGGGACAAAGGTAGGCGTGGAGGGCGTGTGGTCGGGGGAGGCGTCCTCGGGCAGCTGGAAAGTGAGCTGTCGAGCATTCAGCTGACGCTGCCGACCCAACGCCACAGACGAGTCTGCCCTGGGCCGTGATGCCGCAGCTGCTGCAGGGATGGGTGGGTGCATAGGGGAGGCACTGGCACGGCCACAGGTGGGTGGCTCACCGTGGGCGTGGCCGGCACTGCCTAACGCTGGTGGCGAGGCATCCGACTTGTCATTGTGCGTCCCAGGCGCAGGCAGTGACTCGTCAAACCTGCTGCTGCTGCCCACCCCAGCTGCTGCCTCTTCCCCACACCCACTCACATCCACCGACAAGGGAGGGGCCCGCCATACATGCTTGCCTCTCCATCCCACCTCGCCTCCTTCCTCCTGAGATGCACCCAACCCCTTCTGCAGCCCCTCATCTCCCCTTTGCATCCCCACAGCCTGCCCACCGCCCTGCCACCCTTCCGTGCCCACACCAGCCCCCCGCTGCTCCTGCGCACTGCCCTCCATTGCTGCCAGGCGCCCAGCACCACCTACCTGTGCTCGCCTCTCTCTCCTCCTGCGCTGCCCTGACCTGCCCCCCGGGCCGTCCTCCTCGCTCCCCCCCTCGTCCTCCCTCTCCACCACCCGGCTCAGCTTTGCCACTCCTGCCTCCGCCCCACCAGGCACCACGCGGGCAGCGCTATCGGCCCCACCACCACCACTAGCACCGGCGTGTGCATGAGGGCTGCTGGACCCGCTGGCTGCTGCTCTGCTGCTAACGCTTCTGGCCCCTATGCCCCTGGCACCCGCCCCTGTGTGCGGACTGCCTGCCATGCGCACTCCACTGCCACTGCCACTGCCACTGCCACTGCCACTGCCACTGCCACTGCCACTGCCACTGCCGGGACCCCACGACTTGAGGCGGGGCGGCACATGCCGAGGACTGCTGCCGGGCGGCCTGCCCTCGTCGCCACCACTGCTCTCACTGGCGGTGGCGCCACCTGAGCCTCTGCCAGTAGCCTCCCTGCCTCTCATCTGCACGCTCACAATGTCCTCCGCGCCCACACTGCCCCACTCCCTGCTCTCCCCTGCCCCACCACACTCCATGGACCGAGTCCTCCCTCGAACCACAAGCAGAGGCCGCCGCCGCATTGTAAACCCCTCACTGCTACTTCGTTCCAATCCAGACGATGCTAGCTGCAGCTGCTGCTGTTCCTGCTCCTGGGCAGGGGCAGGGGCGCCCTGAGTGTGGGAAGCAGTAGCAGTCAGCCTGGCGGGAGGCAGCTTGGCTGCCTGGTGCTCCTGGCGAGCGTGCTGCTCCTCAATTGCTTGCTGCTCCTCACGCGCGCGCAGCAGCACGTCGTCCAGCATGCGCCCTGTGGCCGCATCCCCACATGTGAAGCTCTGTGTTCGCCGCCTGCTGCGCCCAGCCCTGCTCTCACCGCCCCTCAACTGCTGCACCCTACCCCTACCACCTCCAACCCCTGCTGTGACAGCCCTCGCATACATGCCTCTGCTCTCGCCTCCTGAGACCTCTGCCTTTCCTTCCCGCACTCCTGCTGCTTGCTCCCCCGCCACACCTGCTGCTGCATCCAAGCCGCCTTCTGCCCGCCTTTCCTCGCCCCACCCCTTGCGCTCAGCAGCAGGCAGGCGGGCCGTGAGCGAGGGGGCAGGGCAGGTGGCGGAGGAGGGGGAGAGGGCGGGCGCCAGGGAGCGGGAGGAGGAGCGGTGGGGGAGGGAGGGAAGGAGCGACAGCGAGAGGGCGTCGAGGGCGAGGCGGCGGTCGAGCTCCTCCGCACTCACCGTGCGGCGGGGGGGAGGAGGGGCCGCATGGCGGGGGGAGCAGGGGGCGAGGGAGGAAGCAGCAAAGGTGGCCGAGAAGGCAAAAGTGCTGCCGGTGCCAAGACACGAGTGCAGCCAAATGCTGCCGCCCATCATGTGAACGAGCCTGGAGATGGGGGCCACACAGAGGCAGATGTCAAGGAGTGGCGGAGAGAGTGAGCGGGCGGCATGTGGGTGAAGGCGCACCTAGAGGTGAAGGCACACCTGGAGATGAAGGCACACCTAGAGGTGAAGGCACACCTGGAGGTGAAGGCACACCTGGAGGTGAAGGGGCACCTGGAGGTGAAGGCGAACCTGGAGGTGAAGGCGCACCTGGAGGTAGACATTATCAAAATGCGATGCGATGCGACGTGGAGGTGAAGGCGCACCTGGAGGTAGGCATGATCAAAATGCGATGCGATGCGATATCGCATCGCATTCTGTCTTATCGCGCATTATATTGCAGCGATGCGATATGTTTTTTTTTTACCGAAATCGCATATCGCGTTTTAGGGTGCGACATTTAAAAATATCGCACTGTAGAGTGCAATATATCGCGTGATGCGATAAAATATCGCATCGCCAGGGCTAAATTATCGGGCGATCACGAAACCCTAGGAGGTGCGCTAAACCCCTAAATGATGGCGAGGAAACATGTGCTCGTATGCTAGCTTAGGAATGGGGGTGTGGATTTGTGGCTAGGTAGTTAAGGGAGGTACCTCAGCAAGGGTATGAAATTGGTGCTTCTATGCTTGCTTAGGAGAGGGGGAAGTGGTGTGGAGGTGTGGCTAGGTGGCTAAGGGAGTTCCAAGGGTTTGCATTTTGTGCTTGCAGGCTAGGTTGGGAATGGGAGTGGGGAGGTGGGAAATGAGGTGGGAATCTATGTGACCGCAAACGCTCTGGCAGGGCAGCGTTTAGCGTTTAAACGCTGCGTTTAAACGCTAAACGCAAAACGCTCGCGTAAACGCTAAACACTCGGGCAAAATTTTAGGGGCAGCCCGGCCAAAAATTCGATCAATTTTTTTCCGTGACATTGCGACTTGGCGAGTTCAACCAGACATTTGCCAAGTCGCAAATCCCAAACTAACGACCAAAAAAGGCATCCAAACCTTTTGCCCCTCTCAACCGCACAGCACCCTGTTCATCAACGACTTTCACTCCAACCTAACCTAACCACTTTCTCCCCTCCTTCCGTCACAATCTCTTCCCCGTCAAAAATGGGAACCCTAGAGTAGACATGAGCACGGGGCGAGGCGAGGATTCCTTGACTCGAGGATCTCATCCTCGCGCCCTAGCCGAGGCGGGTCGAGGAATCCTCGCCGAGGATTTTTCATGAAAATCCCCCCTCGACCCCCGGGTTTTGGGGTCGAGGATTGAAATCCTCGCCTCGAGGATTAATTCCTTGACCCGGGGCGAGGATTCCTTGACCTGGGCGGCTGGGGGGTTAGGGGGAGAGGGGTAATGGGAACATCCTCGCCCATTTGCCTCGAGGAAAAATCGAGGCCTCGAATCCTCGCCGAGGCGGGGCGAGGAATCCTCGCGAGGATTTTTCCCAGAAAACCTGCCTCGACCCCCGGAATTTCGAGGCGAGGACTTCCGAGGCGAGGAAATCCTCGCCTCATTGCTCATGTCTACCCTAGAGTTCCGCGCGCCATAGCCGTAGCTCAGATCCAGTCGCTATTCTCTCACCTCCCACCCTGGCCACCTAATTTCGCGCTAAGATAAGGGCCCACGCCCATGTCGACCCCCCTAATGCTGCAGACGCTAATCCTACAGCGTCTGCAGCATCTAATATTTACGAGCCAGAGTCTAATCACGATATTGGAGTAAATATGTTGTATACCATAATCCCTTGCCTCCCCCCACCGATCCCAGGTTTTTTCCCCTGCCCGGGGGAAATTTTACGGCTGCCCGAACGAGCGTTTACCCTAGCGTTTAGAAACCCAAGAAGGCGCGTTTAGCGTTTAAACGCTAGCGTTTAAACGCTTCGTTTAAAACGCTAAACGCGTTTGCGGTCACGTAGGTGGGAATGTGTTGGGGTGGGGGTTCTCCCAAAGAGAATGGGTTGCAGCCCTATTTGGGCTTCGTCCCCTCCCTCCACCCCCCCCCAAATCTGCCAATTTCACGCGCGCGCTTTTTCCAAATCGCATATCGCACTATATCGCGCTAAAAAATGCGCGATATAAGCGCGATATTAAAAAAATCGCGCGATTAAATCGCATCCGACGCTGCGATCGTTTATTTAAAAATAGAAATAAAAATCGCAATCGCAAAATATGATAAAAAATGATGCGATGCGATATACCCATCTCTACCTGGAGGTGAAGGCACACCTGGAGGTGACGGCACACCTGGAGGTGAAGGCGCACCTGGAGGTGAAGGCGCACCTGGAGGTGAAGGCGCACCTGGAGGTGAAGGTACAGCTGGAGGTGAAGGCACACCTGGAGGTGATGGCGCACCTGGAGGTGAAGGCGCACCTGGAGGTAAGGCACACCTGGAGGTAAAGGTGCACCTGGAGGTGATGGTGCACCTGGAGGTGATGGAGAGGCCGAGCCCCGTGCCGCCGTGCTGGCGCGACATGGAGGAGTCGGCCTGCTCAAACGACTGGAATATGCGCCGCTGCTGCCCCTCCGCAATGCCTGGCGCCATGCAGCACGCAGCACCCAGCACACAGCACACAGCACACAGCGCACAGCACACAGCACACAGCACACAGTGCAAAGCACACAGCACACAGCGCACAGCGCACAGCACACAGCACACAGCGCACAGCACACAGCACACAGAGCACATCACACAGCGCACAGCACGCAGCACACAGAGAACATCACACAGCGCACGGCACACAGCACACAGCGCACAGCGCACAGCACACAGCGCACAGCATACAGCACACAGCACACAGCGCACAGCGCACAGCACACAGCACACACCGCACAGCACACACAGGGGAGAGCGCGTGGTGACACGGGAGTGAGGCGGCAGGGCATGCGGAGGGAATGAGGGGAAGCGTGTGTGGAGAGAGAGAGAGCCGTACACGGGTGACCAACACACGAGTTGGCCTGTGCGGGTATTGCGGGGCCGCATGCACTCACCCGCGCCTGTGTCTCGCACGGTGAACAGCAGCGCCACTCCGACCCCCCCTCGCACTGCTGCGCCCTCTGGCCCACTCCCACCGCCACGTGCACCATACAGGCCGTTGGGGGCGGCAGAGGCGGAGGGCGAGGGGGGAAGGTCCGTGGCAGGAGAAGAGGTGGCAGAGGAGAGGGTGGCGGGGTTGGTGGTGGTGGTGGTGGGAGAATGGTGTGGCGGAGAGGCGGCTTGAGCAGGAAATGTGGAGGAAGGGGAGGAAGGGGAGTGGGCGGGTGGGAGGTGCATGAGGGCCATGTTGGGCGGGAGGAGGTGCGGGGCGAAGGGCTGCACGGGTGACGCGCACCTCACCGCGCTCCGTGAACTTGATGGCGTTGCCTACCACGTTCACCTGCTCGCGGGAGGGGGGGGGAGGGGGAGGGGGGTAAGGCAGCGAGTAGCAATATGTAAGTGGGGGCACACCATGCTTTTAGCCATACACACATGCATGCAGGCCACCATGCACTCAGCGCAGCACAGCATGGACTCTCCTGCCCTCCCCCACGTGTGCAATCCCATCCCTTACCGCGGTGGCCCTTGCTGGCCGTGCACACACGGGTGGAGAGTGAGAAGCCCCTCCCCAAGCGCATGCCGAATCATACCCGGCACTGCCGCTGTGGGACTAGGCATACCAGGCACTGTCTGAGGCGCATGGCATCCCCCAGCAGCACGGGCGGCACAGCAGCATCCACCTCCCACTGGAAGGCCAGGCCCTTGAGGGCGGCGCGGGCGGCCAGCATCGTCATGATGCCGGTTGATGAGGGCGCGCACGTCAAAACTGGTCCGCGTCCAGCTGTAGGCGGCCCGCCTCCAGCTTTCGTGATGTCCAGGATGTCGTCCACCAGCACCAGCTGCCACACCAAGGGGGGCGCAGGGGGAACGCAGGGGGGAGGTGTGAGGGCAGGAGGGCGGATTGGCAGTGATGAGAAGAGCAGCATGCGGTGGTTGAGACAAGGGCTGTGAAACGATCTAGGGCTGTGAAACGATCTAGGGCGGTGCACGACAGATGTGCGACATGCGAGGCCAGTGGGGAGGCGAGTGGAGAGGCGTGAGAGGGGCCATGAGTGGAGGGGATAAGCAGGAGGCACTGCCATGTGGCTGGCGGACTGGAGCACGTTACCAGGTGGTAGGCGGACTGCAGCACGTTACCAGGTGGTTGGCGGACTGCAGCACGTTACCAGGTGGTTGGCGGACTGCAGCACGTTACCAGGTGGTTGGCGGACTGCAGCACGTTACCAGGTAGTTGGCGGACTGCAGCACGTTACCAGGTGGTTGGCGGACTGCAGCACGTTACCAGGTAGTTGGCGGACTGCAGGACGTTACCAGGTGGTTGGCGGACTGCAGCACGTTACCAGGTGGTTGGCGGACTGCAGCACGTTACCAGGTAGTTGGCGGACTGCAACACGTTACCAGGTGGTTGGCGGACTGCAGCACGTTACCAGGTGGTTGGCGGACTGCAGCACGTTACCAGGTGGTTGGCGGACTGCAGCACGTTACCAGGTAGTTGGCGGACTGCAGGACGTTACCAGGTGGTTGGCGGACTGCAGCACGTTACCAGGTGGTTGGCGGACTGCAGCACGTTACCAGGTGGTTGGCGGACTGCAGCACGTTACCAGGTGGTTGGCGGACTGCAGCACGTTACCAGGTGGTTGGCAGACTGCAGCACGTTACCAGGTGGTTGGCGGACTGCAGCACGTTACCAGGTGGTTGGCGGACTGCAGCACGGTGTCGAGGTGGTCGCGGGCGTCGGGGGGGAGGGGGTGGTCGAGGGCGAGGTCGGTCATGGCGAGGATGGCGTGGAGGGGCGTGCGGATCTCGTGGCTCATGTTCGCCATGAACTGCACCTTCGCCTCCCCCGCCGCCCGCATCCCCTCCCCTGCCGCCCGCACTGCCTCGCGCCCGCACCGCACCTCCGCCTGCAGCACTGCCAGCTGCTGCGTGTGCGCTGCTGCTGCTGCAGCTGCAGCACTGAGGGACAGGGCAGGAGGACGACGGGCAGAAGGGAGGCAGCAGAGTGTGGCTGAGTGGGGAAGGCGTGAGAAATTAAGACACGGGCAGAATGAGGCGAACTGGTAGGGGGAGAGGCTGAGAGGTGATCTGGCAAGTGATAGGTGAGCGCATCAGAGGCTCATGCCGGGCTGAAGGGCGCGCACGTGAAAGGCTTTGGGTGAAGACTGACCTGGCAGTGGCGTGGCAGAGGGTGCATGGCAGGCGCAGGGAGGTGGCGAGGGGCGAGAGCAGGTGCGCCAGCAGGAGGAGTGCGAGCAGGAAGAGCTGGAGCTGGGGTCGGGATGGGATGACAACAGGGGCACGTGGGGAAGGTACAACTGAGGGCAGCGCAGAGTGCAATCTGAGGGAACGCTCTTGGCGCGTGCCAGACCTATGGGCAAACTGGATGGCTCGTGTACAGTGTTCTTGAAAGAGGCTGACACGAGGTGGTGCTGACATGAGGTGTGCCACGAACCAAGAGCAGCCTCTCACCAACGCACACCCTCTTCTAAACCTCTTTTCCCCCATCCAATCACCTGTAGCACAGCCTCTAGCCAATCACCTGTAGGACAGCCTCTAGCCAATCACCTGTAGCACAGCCTCTAGCCAATCACCTGTAGCACAGCCTCTAGCCAATCACCTGTAGCACAGCCTCTAGCCAATCATCTGCAGTTCAGCCTTTTAGCCAATCATCTGCAGTTCAGCCTCTAGCCAATCACCTGCAGTTCAGCCTTTTAGCCAATCATCTGCAGTTCAGCCTCTAGCCAATCACCTGCAGTTCAGCCTTTTAGCCAATCATCTGCAGTTCAGCCTCTAGCCAATCACCTGCAGTTCAGCCTTTTAGCCAATCATCTGCAGTTCAGCCTCTAGCCAATCACCTGCAGTTCAGCCTTTTAGCCAATCATCTGCAGTTCAGCCTCTAGCCAATCACCTGCAGCGCAGCCTCTGAAGGAACTGCGTGTTGAAAGGGGCCCAGCCCTGCTGACGTGGCTGAGATGGCTGATGCTGACAGTGCCAACGTGGCTATTGCAAGGTGCCAGCTGGAGGTATGTGTGGGAATGACACAGGTGAATGACACAGGTGAGGGGAGTGGGTGACGAAAGCAATTAGGTGCCCTGCTTTAACAGCAGGCAATACATGGCGTGGCATGGCATGGTGTGGGTCCTACGTGGCAGATGAGGTGCAATACGAAAGATGCCTTACCGTGGGGAGTGGGTAGCACACCACACGAGCGTGGGAGCGAGCAGCATGGCGAGAGGTGCGGCGTGGGAGGTGTGGAGTGCACCGG